CCTCCCCCCCCACCCCCAGCCACCCAGTTCCTCCGTCACCTGGGCTGGGTTAAAGCTGATGGCTGGGTCTCTCTAATCATACTTAAGCCCCAAACAGTCCATTCACAAAATACCAAAGCAAGCCTTTCAAGACAGGCACTGTTATGTCACAGCCCTGTGTAAAGCCCTCTATTTAAATTTAAGTTGGTCAGGTTCTTTGTCAGACTTTTTAGCTGACAGGAGCAGATGCAGGTAATGATTGGTATTAATTCTTCATAAACTTTGTCACTCGTTCTCTTTATTACTTGTTCAGTCTTATTCTCCAAGTGAATTAAGTTATGTACTTTTATTAATTTAATGCTTGGAAAATCTTTTCTACTCATTATTTCAAGTTTATAGAAAAGCAAGAATCAATTTTCTAAAATATATTGAGAAAGTTCATTTTTGTGAGGCATTGCAGGCTAAAAGAAGACTGGTTTATTGGCTGTTCGTTGATTCATAGCTACAAGTCATGAAATTTCCTAAAAAAAAAAAGAAAAAATACAAGAGATACCTTCTTCCTTGTGGCTGAATGTGATTGATCACCCCAAAAGGAGTAGCGTGAATTTAGAAATGTTTGGAAAAGGCTAAACTCTAGAGAGGCCAGTGATCTGCCTGGGCTGTAAGAAGAGGCATACGCAGCATGCTTCTAGACCAGGTCTCACCTCACTTAGAGGCAGAAACGCACGGAGTATATTCTCGCAGAGAGTGAGTGGACAAATGATTTCGACCAGTGCAAAACATTTGCACATAGGGCTGCTTTTAGAAGTGACTCAGCGCCTTGAGTGCTAAGCTAGAAAGTTCGGGCTTCTATTACAGGCAGTAGTTCAAATTATTGTGCTAACTGACATTTTAATTAGTTGGAAATATTCACATATTTGTTTTAGCTCTCTGTTATAATTAATTACATTACATTCATTTTTCTATGTGAATTCTTCGATAAATTCAAAACATACTTCCACTTGAAGTCACCATAAATTACATTGCAGAAGGTATAATGAGGACTTTGGATCAGGTACTTCGGTTGAAAGCGGGTTTTGCATTGTGACATTTGGTAAGCCACCAAACTTTTCTGAGCTTTGGGGATAATGAAACACCAGTGCCATTGATCTGTTATGAAACATAAATGCTTAGATGATGAGAATTTAATATCTAATTCCAAAAAGGTAGAACAGTATATAAATTATTCTACTTTAAAATGTTACTCTGATCTAATATTAACCATGAACTATTTCTAGCACTTTAACATAGCTGTTATATATAGCTGATAACATAGCTGTATGTTAAGTAATATATACATAAGTTATATATATTTGTATAGACCCATAATTTGTCATCCTTAATTGCAGAACCCCAAAAGTTCAGAGAGTGTGTTTATAGTCTGTTTTTATCCTACCGAGTTCAAGTAATCTTTATATAATGTTTTCCATGCAAAATAAATTTATCCCGTGACCCAGCAGTTCCACTTCTAGGTAATTATCCAAGAGAATTGAAAACTTAGGTTTACCCAAAAAAGGCCTTGTACAAGAATTTTCATTGCAGCTTTATTCACAGTACCCCAAAACTAGAGCACCCAAGTATCCAGTCATGTCTTGAGACCCAGAGCATCATGTTCTGTGAGTGTAGAGTGTATGGGAGTGCTGAGGATGCAGGAGAGGCTGCTTTCCGGACTGTTCTGCCAGGAGATGTGGGGGGAGCCTGCCCCACGTGACGCGATGCAGTGTGTACCGTAATTTGTCACTTGTGTCAGCGGCCTCCAGCGGCTATGTCACCATGGTCCACGTGGCCGACACCACCAAGTGAAGGCGGCGCTGCACTGGTTTTCATTCTCTGCTGATGTCACTGGATTGATTGTTTTGTTTCCTACACCCTGCAGATGTGCATGCACACACCTGTATACACATGCCCTACACATGCACACATGTGTGCATCTTCCGTCATCTTTTTCTTTGTCTTTCTCCCAAGTTTGACATTGCATCACCAGCTAATGAGTATGATTATATTGTTACTCAAAAGAAACTGTTCAGTGAAAACATGTGTTCAAGCACCTCTTCTTTGTACAGTGCTGTGTATGAAGCATTGTGATTCATCATTTCTTTCATTTCTTTCATCTTTGTTTCTGCTTAATTTTTGGACATTTTCAAATACGTACCACTTTTTCACTATGGAAGATCACTGAAGGTATACTTACTATCTTTCTTTCTATTTAAATAAAGTATAGTTTATATACTTCTTTTTGTATTCTTTTCCTGTTGTTCAGTCACTCAGTTATGTCCCACTCTGTGCGACCCCATGGACTGCAGCATACCAGGCCTCCCTGTCCATCACCAACTCCTGGAGCTTGCTCATACTCATGTCCATTGAGTCATGTCCCTCCAACCATCTCGTCATGTGTCACCCCCTTCTCCTGCCCTCAATCTTTCCCAGCATCAAGGTCTTTTTCAATGAGTTGGCTCTTCGCATCAGGTTCTAAAGTATTGGAGCTTCAGCTTCAGCATCACTCCTTCCATTGAATATTCAGGGTTTATTCCGTTTAGGATAGACTGGTTTGGTCTCCTTGATGTCTAGGGGACTCTCAGCAGTCTCCTCCAGCACCACAGTTTGAAAGCATCAATTCTTTGACACTCACCCTTCTTTATGGTCCAACTCTCATATCTGTACATGCCTACTGGAAAAATCATAGCTTTGGCTGTATAGACCTTTGTCGGCAAAGTGGTCTCTGCTTTTGAATACACTGTCTAGATTTGTCATAGCTTTTCTTCCAAGGAGCATGTGTCTTTTAATTAGGTTTAAATTGGAAACAGCTTAAGTTTTAATTTTCAGTATTACTAGCTTTCAGTGGACAAGTTAAAGGAGTTTTATCATAGTATATTTCTAATTCTTCTCTTCCAGTGATAGTGCTTACTTATTTTTCTTTGCAAGTAATTGTTGTATCTTTCAAGTAAATCATATTATTACTTTTTTTTTTTCATTTATCTGTGCACATTCATAGGAATCAGGAATAGTAGTTCCACAGAGCGCAAGTATCTTCTTCACTTTCTGTGACTGCAAGTAGGTTTCTGAAAAGTTAGCAGTGGCACACTAACTGTTGTCTTCAGGATGTTTTCACTTATCTTAAGAAACTTTTTTTGTAGTTTGTTAAAAGCCCACTTAGCAGTTCTTTTTATGACAAATTATGGTACCCTATTTGCTGTTACAGTGCCAGGGACAGAGTTTTGTATAATAGGAAAGGGCTGAGAAGTTTGTTAACTGCTCCTTTCTTTAATCAGGAAGGACCAATGTTACATCAGAAAAACGTATCATTGGGTTTCTTTCCTTTTAAAATGTTAAGTCCTGGCAGTATAATGTGTAAAATATGTGAGCAGCACACAGTTCCATTTCTACCACTTCTTCATGGGTGAACCTCATTTTTCTGTGGCTTAAGTTTATTCTGTAGGATTTAAACATTTGAGATTTCTAAGTAAAGTTAAAGATATCTCATAGTGATCATTTAAAAATAACTCCTAGCAAATGACTTGGGGAGATGAGGTGGATAAGGAAGATAGGAGTGATAAGTGAGAACTATTTTGTACTCAGGGAACTTGCTCGTTTCTTGGTAGTTGTGGTTACAACAAACTTTAACTCAAAGCAGAAACATATGCTTTAGGGATGACCCTCTGAGAAGGTAGCATTTAGGTTGAAGTCTGTAAGGATAAAGTAGGATTTGAGAAGAGGGATGAGTGGTAGTGTGGAGTGCAGAGAAGCATTCAAGATGGAGGCAATAGGAGGAGGCACAGAGATGAATAACAGGAAGTGATGTGGTTTGGTTTATGCCATAAGATAACAAATAGGAGATTCATTGATTTAACTTGAGAAGATTTTTGGGATCAGACCATAAATAGCTTAAATATATATATATATTTTTTTTTTTAGCTACTAAGAGACTACAAGGTTCTTAAGACATGAGCCTGTCACGAAACATTAGGATGGAAGTTGTGATTTGGGCAGTTAACTGGCCATTGTGCATAGATTGATTGGAGAACAGATACTCTTAACACATTATAGTAGTTTTGGTAATAAACCAATAATGCTGAGAGCAAAAGTGATAGCAGTAAATGAGGAGGGTGGGACAAGTCCAAGGTTAAGGAAATGGCCTAACAGTTTGATGTCAGAGACATCCCTGGTTTTTGCTTGGTGTATACTTATTAATATTAATATTTTAGTAGTGCTCCTTTTCGCTGTGAAGTTTTTCATGACTTGGACAAGGTATCAGATGATCTCAAAGACTGATTTGCTTTAGAATTGATAGCATTTGCTAATTGAGGGGGAAAAGGGATTTTGGGATAAGAAACCAGAATGTAGGCCAGATTTTTAGAAATTCTTATGTTTATGATTTTGTTAAATTTTCCTCTTGGAGAATTAAACAAAATTTCCTTACCTGAATACCACAGTTGAATCTTAAATGTTTAAAATCTCAGATTGTTTTCATTTTTTGTCTTTTAATGAAGACTTAGACATAGAGACTATACTATATTTAATTTACCTAACATTTTCATTGATTCCATTTAAAAGTAAAGCTTTTTAAGAGATTGTTAATTCATCAGTGTAGCTTACGTAAGAAGTGTCCAAATAGAAACATAGCTAGCTGGTGGCAGTTGAGAGCATCTTGTGTGTTAATATCCCATTCCTGAATGGGCTTTAGCATGTAGCACCTTTTGTTCCCCCTGGAGAAGGAAATGGCAACCCACTCCAGCTTTCTTGCCTGGAGAATCCCATGGACAGAGGAGCCTGGTGGGCTACAGTCCTTGGGGTCGCAAAGAGTCGGACGTGACTGAGTGACTGAGCGCTCACTCACTCACTGTTTGTTTCCCGGATCTTTGTTTCCTGATTGAATCCAGTAGCTGTAGTCACATGATACCTATTTTATGGTTTTTGCATAGATATGGCTGTAATGGATATGGACCATTTCAGGCGCTTAGTGCTGTTGTCTTTTCCATGTATAGGCAGAGGGAGAAGACAGCCTGAAGAAGATGCAGCTGATGGAGCTTGCGATTCTCAACGGCACCTACAGAGATGCCAACATTAAATCACGTAAGACCAGAGCTTACAGCTGTCTCAGCTGTTTTGTCCGCAGACACCCTCTCCTTTTGGCAGCACAGTACATGAACAGTTAAAGTGAAGAGTTGAAATAATTGTCACTTGATATGGGCTTCACTGTTCCATTTCTACTGTTTTCAAGAATGAGGGCACTCCCTTGATTTTATTTTATGCCAGCATGCCTAAGTTTTGAGTTTATGAGCTTTTGTTTTATTCTTTTGATGAAATTTTAGCTTCTGAATTCAAGAATTACAAAAAATTTTTTGTTAACTACAGATTTAAAACTTCTAGTTTATTTTGTTATCTTTATGCAAAGAAGTTTTTTCTAAAAATTAAAAGCTAATTTGGAATATACATGAATGCAGTGATTCTTCTGTTGAATTCTGTTCTTTCACCTCGCTTGCACGTTTTTCCTCCGGTATTTTTCCTGTATTGATTTCATATGTGAGTTCACAGAGAGCAGTAGATGGCACTGCTTTTAATGCCGTTTTCCTCTTGATGTGTATTGTGCATGTTTTCATAAACTGTAAGAGGATTGCTTTTTCATATTTAAAATGAAATAATGTGAAATTTATATTTTGAGACAATGTAAGTTTTATTCATCATTCATATGAACATAGTATCATTTAAATTAGAGGTATAGAATTTTAAAGACATAGCCAGCTTTCCAAAATATAGGCACCTTAGTGTGTTTAGAGTGGTTACTTTTTGTAAATGGTTGGTTTTAATTTACTCATGAAAATGAGTATGTCATTAATAGTCATGTGTTTAGGAACGTGACTTTTTTTGTATTTTCTATGAAAAAGTTAATCACTACAAATGTAGGAAATTAATAACTTGGTTATTTGGCTAAGTTAATACAATGAAAATTATTCTTTCCTTCATTTGAAACTGAAGCTACTCTTTAGACATATACTAAAACTGTATTTCTGTGGACTCCAATTACAGAGTATTTTTAACATCTTTTAATGCAAGTGTTTTCTTGTGCTTGTGCATGCACCTTTAGTCTCATGAGATCTTAAAAATATAGATATACTAAATATATGAAGTAAATATAACCTATTTTAATGGTCTCATTCTTTTTTCCCCCCAGTGGCTTTTTAAATTTTGCACATTTGTTCTTAATCACATTGGGAAAGGGGAAGCTGTTTTGCATTTGATTGGTGTGCTTTGGCATTTTTGTGTGATCAGCGCATGTACTAATGATTTCCTTTTATTTTTCTTCTTTTCTGCTTTTTTCCTTTTTCCTCCTTCCCTCTCATTTTCCGTGTTTTACACTGCTGTCTCTGTACTTCCTTCTAAATTTCTTTGCTTACTGTAGCAGCCCTTGCCTTTTCTCTTGCAGCGACAGCCCAGGCTGCTCCAAGGATTATCACTGGGCCTGCTCCCGTGCTCCCACCAGCTGCCCTGCGCACTCCGACGCCGGCTGGCCCTACCATAATGCCTTTGATCAGACAGATACAGACCGCTGTCATGCCAAACGGAACTCCTCACCCTACTGCTGCAATAGTTCCTCCAGGGCCCGAGGCTGGGTTAATCTACACACCCTACGAATACCCCTACACGTTGGCACCAGCTACATCAATCCTTGAGTATCCTATTGAACCTAGTGGTGTATTAGGTAAGTTGTTCTCCCTGTATGGTTAATAGCGTTTTTCTTCATCACTTTTGCTACCCCAGACTTTGAAATGATATATCCATTTTAGAGAGGCAAGACAAGCTTCCACTGCAAAGACTGAAAACTAAATTTTATTTCAGCCTCTTATAAGGGTTCCCCCTTTAAATAATTGTACCTGAAATTTATTCAGATGCACTTTGGTGACAGACGGTCACTTTGGTTGGGTAAATTTGCAATGAACATTTTAAACCGGTCACTTTGGTTGGGTAAATTTGCAATGAACATTTTAAACAGAAAATGCTTTTCACTTTTGACATCACCGAGGTCATTCTGAGTGTTAGATCCCACCCATAGGCCTACCCCTTCATCAGCTCCACCACCCAGAATTTTTAGATTGCTTTTGTGTTGGAAATTTATTTGTTGGTTACATTTTCAATTTTTGTGTGAAAGTCTTTTGAGACATTTTAAACCTGATGTGTGTTTTCTGATATTTGTGGTCACTTAAAATATAAAAGGGACCAGATAAATAGTTGCATTCTTCAGGTTTCTTCAGTTTTTCTCTTTTGAAGTCCTAGTTAGTATTAAAGATAAGAGACGTTCTTAGTTTCAGTAGTACAGTATGGAATTGATAAGTAATACCAAGTCTCACTGAATTAGAATCATAATTGAGGCAAAAATTAAGATCATGCTGTAAACTCTCAGTTTTACATAAACAAGAAGTGGTGTGCTTGAAAAAGACATTACTGACGCCTTTTTTTTATAGAGTGGATTGAAATGCCAGTCATGCCTGATATTTCAGCCCATTGACTGCTGGATGAAGGACTAGAGCAGCAGCTGTTCTAACACGACCAGTCAATGTGGACACACTGTTTCCGCGCTGCCCCTTTGTTTTACCAGATAGAATTTGAGCTCTTTTTTCTTGAATTGTACATGACTTTGGTGCTGCGTGCATGCTGTTGACTCTTAGGACTTTGATCTTTTAAAGTTATTTTTTCCCCAGCATTAATATTGATTTATAAAAATTTGAAAGTTTTTAATGAACCTGGACACTAAGATTGAAACTTGAAAATTCATTGTTCAATTAAAAAAAGCCACAGTGCTCTGTATGTTATCTGTGTGTGTGCATGCACTCAGGTGCATTTTGTTTCATGAGCAAATACATTTTATTGTACATGTTTTCCGTTTATCTCTAAATCATTGTAAAAAGTATTTTAGGTCAGACTCATACAATAGAACTATTTCTGAGAGGCTTGTTTCTGTTGCACATTTCTTGAAGCATTTTTAAAATAACATGTAACCTGTAACCTGTTTACGTTTTCCTTTCTGTTAACGCTCTGTCCTGTGGCCCCACTCCTGCTCCTTTCCCCAGAGCTCCTCTCTGCTGCACGCACAGCGTCTGTTCGAGGAGTTTGACTGGTGCTTCCCGCAGGGCTGGCGCTCTGAGCCACCAGCTGCTGTTCCAGCACTCTCAATGCAAGATCTCACTGATTTTGCCTCATTGAATTACACTTATATAAGATTAGTTTTTCCAAAATGAAAAAGGGGTGATGGACCAGTTTACTACTTAGAAACAGCAAGAGGCACTGCAGTTAAATTTCCCATTTTAAAGCAATGTGCTTTTGTTGTGTTGGAAAATTTTTATTTATAATACTTAATTATTAGACTGACAAAATTGAAAGTAAAATACACAGATACCTAATTGACATTCATAAGGTGAATGATAATGAGCACTAAATGTCAAGATTCCATTATTAGTTTTATTTCTCACTTTGCCACCTCAGCAGTAAAACATGATATTGACCACTTGGAGAATTGAGAAAATGAATTTCAAGTTGCTATGTTATAATCAACTTGCACACAGATAACATGCATGCTATATATCAAGTCTCACATGAGTATTTTAAAATAAGCAGTGCCCTTCAAAACAGATGCAGACATATGTGTTGGTGGTAGTGAGGAGATTGGTGTTAGCCTCAAATCTTCATTGATGACTAATTTTTAATTCCCTTCCTTTTATCTTTAGGTATGGCTTTCCCAACGAAAGGCTAAGAATTCAAGAACGGTCTTAACTGAACCCTCATCAGATCTGAATTTAACAAATGCTTAGTCTCAGCAGCCTCCGGGGGGTGGGGGGGCTTAGCCTAGCAGTCAGTGACTGACTTGCACTTTTTGCACACTGATAGAAAATAAAAGTATGTTATTAACTGGTTTAGTCTGGAATCTTACAAAGTAACGGTGATTTATACAGGAGTGTATAGTAGTATACTGACTGCTAAGTGTACTATACTGTTTGCTTTACTAATCACCTAATTCATTGCAGTTCATACTTATTGACTCAAAGTTTAGAACCACAATCTGTAGGCTTTAAGAATTGCATTTAAACCTTCTTTAGTGATAGACTCTGGAAGTGTGGTCTTAAGGTTAGCAAATAATTGTCAATGTTAAACATGGCATTATTTAAGTAGTCCTGCTGCAAGAAAGGCACTTCAGTGAATATGTGACTAGTAAAGCCTAACTATGTTTGGATCTAATAGAGTTCATGAAATCTGTAACTTGGGAATATAAATGAATGGATAAAATAGGTTAAGGCCAAGATGATTGAAATGAATGCAATATTAATAGATGCATATATACGCAACATATAATGGTTAATTTTAAGACTACTGTGCCTTAACGTGTTTCCTAAAACAAAACTTTTGTAGTAAATGAACATTTGAAATCCATTGTGATAAACCTGCTGTTAATGTTTGTTTTCTTTTCCCTTGTGAATGTTTTCTAACTTTGTCTTGGTAATTGCAATTTAACTAGGTGCGGTGGCTACTAAAGTTCGAAGGCACGATATGCGTGTCCATCCTTACCAAAGGATTGTGACCGCAGACCGAGGTTAGTTTAGTTCTGCAGTTCTTGTTTATGAGAAGTGCGTTGGGTGTTCCTAAAGTTTGCAACACCACACCTGATGGAAAAAAATCACTGCTTGCCTGCACATCATTTCTTTTCCTTTTCTAAATTAATTTGTAATAATTGAAAGATTTAAGGGTTGGGTTTTTTGGATGTTTTCTTTTCCTCCCTTCATATTTTAATTTATTAAATTCTATTTTAATATGTACAATGATTTATTTCTACTAAAATGTAAATTAGTCCATCTGGGGAGCTATTAAATTCTGATGTTGCCTTATTTATCAGGAATAATTTTTGCTAAAATTTACCTTTTAGTTGTTCTGAAATTTTGGGTTGGTTTTGCAAAAAGAACTAAGCAGATGGTGCTTTAATGAGAGAAGTAAAGGAATATAGTCCTCCTGTGTCCTTTTGGAGAAAACTGAAGATTTAGTTTCCATTTTCCTTTTTAGTAAGATACTTGAACCCCACTGTATACACACAAGGATATACATACATGTCAGGTCCTTAGCTGAAATAAAAAGGGCTGTGAAGATGACTTTGATGAAGTTGGATTTTTTAATAAATGAGGAAATCATTTCCCTTTTATTCTTACATCTTGTCCCAAAATGGATCCTTTGATTTTTGTCATTTGCTGCTAAAATATTATGTGAAGGTAAACTATCTCTTGAAATTTTGTGGTGACATGAATCCAGCTGTTTGAAAGTCCTTTTTGACTAACCCGTGACTGGAAAATAAGTCTTCATTTTTCTCCTTTTCCACATGTATAATTTGTGTCCTCTATATGCCCTTGGACCCTTCTATAAAATTATTTATGTTTATTGAGGAGTGACGGTTTTGGTTTATTGACATTGTTTTCTGAGTTTGTCATTACAAGGAAGCAATCCAAAACAAGATTTTAAAAAAGGATTTTTGGGGTTTTTTTTGCAAACTTCTATTATGGCACATCTTTACCTACTAATTAATTTGATCAAAGTCTCTAATATTAGTGGTGGAAAGTGATGTATTTACACCCCAATCCTACATTTTCTGTGAACTTGAGAAAGATCTCATCTGTCAGTTTCACATAGTTATCTTAAATACTGATGGACACAAATGCTGTCCACATCAGAATAAAATACCTTTCCAAAGACATTGATGATATTTATTTAGCATCATACATAATTAAAGAGTTTGAAGACTTTTAACTAATGCATATATTACTCACAGAGATTATTGAATAAACAGGACCCCCCCCCCCCCAAGGTCAGTGGTTATCTATGAAGATAATATAAATGTAAGTACATCATGCACCACAAGGAAATAAATGACCTTTTTTGTATTAGAAAGTCTCCTAGTGAAGGAGGAAATTAAAAAAAAAAAAATCTTTTAAGTAACTTTCCAATTTAAGGAAATTGAATACTTCCACACAGAATTGGAAGTTTTTACATTGTTAATGTCTGAAACAGTTTTAAAGACTGTTTTAAAGTCGTCTTTCTGTTAACCTTTCCCTGCATGCCCTTTTAAAGAGATTTCTCATAATTTTATTTTAACACAATTATTGGTCTAGTCAACACTCCAGTGCCTTGAAACAGTTGAAAATATTAGAAAGATTATACTGTATTTGAAATTGACAGCACATTCCATGAGAAGCTCTTTTGTAGTTTATGTGTTTTCATTAGTCCTATCACTGTTTTTATTCAAAATGCAATGTCAGCAAACCGAAATGCTCTTTTTTTCTTTTTTTTTTTAAATAACAGATACTTGTATACTGCTGTTACTATCACTATATGCACTCATTGGGTCTAAGGGAGAGGTCTGAAGTTCTTCACTTAAATTATTTTATGATACTACTGTTTTCTCTTATTTTTGAGGTTTTTTTTAATGATTATTTTTTAATCTTTTGAAGGGAAGATTATAAGTATTCATTTATGCAAGGAAACTCAGCCCTTAGACATATAACCATGTAATTCTATATGAGCATTTAGAGTACTGCATGGTTGACAACCATCTAGTTCTTTACTAAAAATAACCCCCACCCCGTTCACATATTTCGAAACTGAATATGAAGCCTATAAAAGACCAACTGACTTTTTAGTTGTAAAGAACCGTAAGTGATTTTGCACGGTTGACACACCTGTGTGTACTGTAGCAGGCCAGGACTCGGCAGAGGACATATTTCTAGGTTTACTGGTATATATAGAAACAGTAGTTTGCTTGTTTATATATTCCACACTGAAAAAGGCGTAATCAGAATTTTTCTAAATATTTTACAAAAACCATCATTTACATAATTTGTATAAAAAGCTTAATACAATTTTAATCAAAATTTTAAGTAATTTCAAAAATGCTTTAAGATTCTATATTTCTGGAGTACCTATGAAGTGGTATGACTACATCATGTGAAATATTTATTTTCTTCTTTAACTTTGGAATAGCAGTTTTTATTTTAATTAAATAAAATTCCAATTTTTTTAAACAATTTCAGGGAAGATTTGGTCACATTGAAGATACAGTATTTTTGTAGTATTTATAAGCTGTCCTATGTGATAGACTTTTAGAAAGCATTTTTTTTTATATGAAGGTAAACCAGTCCATTATATAGTTCATTTAAATTCTGTGAACATTACTCCTACTGGGTTTTGATTTATCAAGTGGCACAGAATCTGCCTTTGCACTGAATATCTTTTCATTGACATCTCCTCTGCCTTAGTCACAGTGGCAACAGTACAGAAAATTCTCTCAAACCTCAGAATATAGTAGAAATAATTAAAGCTGTTGAATGAGTCTTAAAAATCATACTACTGTTAAGTGGACCAAGTTTGGTGAAGCAGAATGTGACAGAGGTTGATTAAGGAAGGAGCAACTCAAGGACATTGGGAACGATAACTTTTCCACTTGAGAACTACTTTATGTTTTACTGTAATTTTTTTTTTTTAATTTTTTTGTTCTGTTTGTTATTTTGCAAAAGAAAATAGTATTTACAGGTGGCTTCTTTTAAAATATAAAATATAAAGCAGGAATGTATATGAAATGTCAGATTTTATTGTATTTGCAGAGTATTAGCTTTGAAATTGAATAAAGAAAGCTGTTTGTAGTTTTAAAATGCCTTATTGGTATCAATTAGAAATTTCTTCTATTTTTTGATGTACTTAGAGCTTTTTGAGTATAGAATTTTAAATGGCAGGATTTTACAGTGTTTACATGCAAGTGCATTTTATAAGTGTTCTATATGTGTAAAATAGTATTTCCAACTGGAAAGTGTTGGCCTGCGCGGAAGGCCTGGCCCTTTTCTGGTTCCCATGATGTTGCCCACACTGCTAGGCTACAGTTTAGTGTTGCTTTGTATCATGAGGCCAAGAAATTCCATGTTGTTTGTAAATAGAATAATTGAAAAAGCAATAAACATTTATTGAACAAAAGAAACTTTGTTTGGCCCAGAGTTTATGTTGAACCAGATTATTCATAGAAATTTAAATTTCTTTAGATTCATTTCTGTTAATCATTGATTATTAATAATCACATCCATCATTAATAGTCGCTTTAATGCTTGCACCTGAGAGAGTACTAATGCTGAATAGCAGTCAGACGTTGGTAGCTGCCCTGACTGTGAGAATCCTGCACACCGAGCCCATTCACTGACGTCGTTTTCCGGTCTCCTTCATTGACTGCTACTAACTATTAGTTGTTAGTTGTATTTTATTTCTATTTTTCCTGTTAACAGTTTTTTGTTTTTTGTTTTTTTTTTTTTTTGTGGGAGTGGGCTCTCCTTCATTTGTTCAAATCATGATATGGAATTGTCATGATTTTTATTGTATTCTGTAGATGGTGTTAATCAGTTTGTCAGAATTAAACATGCTTTTTTTTTATTAGTTGTGATTAGTTTTTCATGTTGTCATTAAGCCGTCACTAGCTGAAACTAATCTCTTCTCTATCTTTTCTTTTCTTTTTTTTTTTTTTTTTTGTTTTTTGTTTCTAACCACCCAGCCGCCACCGGCAACTAACCTATGACCTTCTGACCTCTGAACTCTTCACCCAATGATGACCTGACCATGCCTGCCTGCTGATCAGTTAACTGGTAATCGCCTTTGCTTGCCTGTCGTCAGTGCAGCGAGCTGAGGCACTTGTCCGTTCGTCTTACCATCTAACCAAACAAAAGACAAAAGAAATCGTTGTCCTCCAACTCAGCTTTCGTTTGTTTTGTTTTGTTATTTCTTTTTCTGTTTGGGTGAAAGTGGTTCTAGACCCTGCACTGAAGAGTGTAAAGCAATAAGGCCCAATCCTTCCCCCAGCACTGACCACCTTTCAGTGTCCGCCCTAAGCGAACGGTGAGAAGGCCTCACTGCAGGAGGGCCAGCGACAGAGGCAGTTACTGTGAGAGACTTCTAGGAACCTCTCTGCATAGCGAGTCAGAGCTCTGAATGTACTGTGTGCTGATGCATCATGCATGAACCTTTGGTCAGGGATGTCATTGGTGAAGCGATTTCAAAAAGTATTCAAAATTTGACCTGCTCTTTAGTCACTACAGTGCCCTCAAAGGGCAGAAGTCGCAGCCTTTTTTATATTGCCTGCCAAAATTTGAAGTATTAGAAGTGTGCCATGAGAGAAAAACTTAACAAGGAATTTTGGAAAGTAATGCAAAGAACAAAACTGCAACACTATTTTTTAAAAGATAAATATCTGAGTTAAAATTACTGAACCTTTATTTTACACCTCCTTTAAAAAATATATGAGAACAAGGTACATGCATTATGTGTCACATTACTGGGCAAACTGTTCAAATATTTTTTTTAAACCTCCCTGTATAGAAAAAAATCATTAAGGATGTAAAAGCCATGCTTGCCTATTTGCTGTATACATGTAATGAAATTGTAGATAAAGTGTAGTGCATTGAAACAAATGAACAAAAAAAGTAGATACTTTTACTATACAAGGGTGCTGGTGCAGAAAAAATATATATATTTTTGGAAATGTAGCATTTTATACTTTCAAGTGTTATAAAAAAAAGAAAAAGAACAAAGAAACCCTTTATTTCATTAAATGATTTTTTCTGGTGGTTGTCAAGAAACAAAAGACCAAAAGAGCCTTTTTGTCTTTCTTTTTTATTTTTTAAGTATTGGAATAAGTCTAAAGAAAAGAAAGTGCCTTATTTTCCTTCATGGTCATTTAGTCAAGTGTCTTGTAAGATCAGCTCCTCCCTCAGAATACAAGTCAATGCCTGTCACTCAGTCGCCCAGTATGTGAAGGAAGATGTGAGGGGAGACACATGAGTTGATGGCTTGAATTAAATGATTTTTGCCACATTACCTTGATATCAATTTGCCAAATCTGATACTGTGAAAAAATTTGATAACTTTTCTAATTCCTAACAAGTAAGTTTGAAAACATCCTTTTAAAATCACAATCGAGTGCTTTTGGTAATTGGTATACGTAATGTTAGCCCAAAGGGTTCTGAAATAAACATTACGTGTGATTAGAACACCATTTCATAGACAAATTTAGAATCTTATTTGGTGGGCGTGTTGTTGGATTTTTTTCTTATTAATTGGTGGTAATAGTATACGCAGCAGTCTTTTTCACAAGAGTGAATCTTTGTGATTTTCATTCTGGATAACAGTGTTTGTAAATGACCCAAATTTAAATCAGACTCGTTTCTACGGAACCAGATCACTTGTGTAGTCCATCTCTGCTGGTTTCAGTGGCCTAAGCCTTGACCACACACACACACACACACACCCCACACACACCCCCAGCCCCCGTTTAAAGGAATGAGAGAAACTAGCATCATTGTGCATAGAATACTCAACTACATGTGAGTATGAACTTGCAGTTTCTCCGGACGTTCAGTCAGTTTTGTAACTGAAGTGATCTGTGCACAAAGCTCTGCATCGGAACTCGAGCTTGCAGATCTAACTGATCTGTAAGCGAGCATTAAATGCCCAGTACCAGATGTGGCAAATGGCAAGTGGCTGTAGGTCCCCAGCTCATCAACTCCTGCCCTCTGCATACCGTCACGGCTTCACAGTCAAAGGTCAGCAGTAAGCTCAGTAAGCACCTTCGCGGTGACCTCCATCATCTTGTCCCCCTTGGAGACCGTTTTCAGTTTATTTACTATGCAATAGACATTTGTTGTTTTGTATTCAGCTAGCTTTGGTTCAGTGTGACACTGCTTGTCTTTCTGTTACACAGAGTTGTTTTGATTGATTTACCATATGTGCTGTGCCATTTTGATTTTTATTTTGTTTGGTTGGTTGAATAAATTTGCGACACTCAAACACTTGAGGTGATAGTTTAAAAACGATACCAGTATTTGATCCAGTTTCATCTCAACTGTGTTATACCTGGACATTTTAGATGTTTATCAAAGGTCTTTTATGGGGAAGAAAGTAAATGTATGAAATAAATGCGTGACATTTATGAGTAATGTTGGCTCTGAACAAACGTTTGAAAACTTAGTTGATAAAATTTTGGATCAACTGAAAAAAAGCATGACTTTTGAAATCTCTGAATGCCTTGGTTCTCAGTATTATCATTCTTTATTGAATTTCTTTCTTATTAAAATATGTAGTTTTTAAGACTTTTTTTTTCTGACAGTATTATGTAATTTTTTAGCGCGGGTAGATGGGAGTGTCGCTTGTATGTTACCGTACGGCTGACATGTATTTTTGTCTGTTCTTTATTATCTCAGTAGTTTCATGCTATGTATGTACCATAACCAACCTATTGCCTATGAGAAACATGTAAGATAATGTATTTACAGCCATTGTTACAAGTTTATAATGTATTTTTCTATCTTGTTTTATATGTATGTTATATAACATTCAAAAAGAATTTTTTTCTTGATTGAGAAAAGGATACAAAATGCAGAATCCACAATTTTGATAACTGAAAATTGCCAATTGTTTTCCAGTACTTTATTACATTGGGTGTCTTGTCTTTCTTGGGCTTTTAGTTAGCTAATGAATGAATACATTAGACACTTTTGGGTTTTAGTTGGGATTTTACATAGCTTGCATTTTAATTCTTTGGTTCTTTGCTGTTTCTATTAACCCATAGCATTATTTTAATAAATGTTATAATATCAACCTACTAACTCTGGACTATGTCTGTTTATTAACCTTTACATGTTTAATTAAAATAAACAAATAAAGACAAAAGAATGTAAAGTCTTGAATTACTGGACTAACCCTGAAGAAAGTGACCACAGATAACATAGCGTGACTTGTTTTTATGTTGTTTGTCAGCTGACAATTCCGCACACTACTGTTAAAGTGGCTTTGGTTACTCTGGCCTTTTACCTTGGGGGGTAGGTGCCAGGAGAGACGGGAACAAAGCAGTGTTGGTTTGAAGCGTTCTTCTAGTCTTGCCACCTGCCTTTCAACTTCTGCATTACTAATTCCACACTTTCCTATTTTTCCTTCTCCAAAATAATCACTGTCTGCTCACAGCATAAAGAGTAAAGAGATTTATCGTAATGATATACCCAAGAAACCAGTTTGATTCTTTGTTGAACCGTTTTTAAAATTTCTATAAGTAGATAATCTAATGGTCACATTATAAAGCAAAGCATCTGATGACGTCTTACCTTTCTTCAAATTGGTGTTTTAATTGGACATTTTTCCAGTGTAAAGTTATGAACTGTTTTGGCTAGCTGCTCCTGTTACGGAAAGCCAAAGGTAGAGTGGCTCCGTGTCTCAGGCCGGCCCAGCGTCGGCCGATGATGACGAGCACGGACGCAGGTCCCTCAGCACGAGGTCAGG